TTGCTTACTACTACTTTATTAGAAACAAATACACATTTGAATCCATTCTTGGTCAGAACTGAAATTGAAACTAAATTCTTTCTCAATTCTGGAACATATGAGACCCTATTCAAAGTCACCACCTTGCCTGTTGTAATCTTTAATAGGACTTTGCCAATTCCTTCCACCTTTGCAACAGCGGAGTTTGCCATAAAAAACTTCTCACCTGTAGGTGCTGGAGTATATGATGAAAATAATTCTTTGTTGGAACAAACATGACATGAGACACCAGAATCTATCCATCATTCTCTTGGATTTCCAACCAAGTTACATTCTGAAAGCATTGCACAGAGATCATCCATTTCTCCTTTAGATTCAGTCAAGTTTGCTTGATCCTTCTTTTTCTTGTCCTTCTTAGGACCCCGACATTTAGTAGTCCAATGACCATGTTTACCACAGTTGAAGCAGTTTCCATTGAATTTCTTCTTAGGAGGATTGCTTTTTGGATCAGATGCTTTCTTTCTTTTCTTTAATTATGTGGGATCTTCTTCAACAAAATTTACTCCAACTATTGTTGAATTACCACGTGACCTCTTTTGTGCAGCCTTATTATCCTCTTCCATTCTTAACCCTACTATGAGATCTTCAACAGTCATCTCCTTGCATTTATGTTTCAAGTAGTTTTTGATGTCCTTCCACAATGGAGGTAACTTTTCAATAATTGCAGCCACTTGAAAGACATCATTCACAATCAATCCTACATTAAAGATTATGTGAGTATTAAGAAAAAACTTAATATTTCTGACATAGGCATTAAATAAATTTATACCTTCAGCAAGCAGATCATGGATTATGACCTCCAGTTCTTGAACTTGGGTAACGACGGTCTTACTGTCTATCATCTTATAGTCCAGAAATTTTGCCACAATGAATTTCTTCATTCCGGCATCTTCTGTTTTGTACTTTTTTTCTAAAGAATCCCAAAGTTCTTTTAAGGTTTTGACATTTGCTATACACATTGTACAAATCATCTTGCAGGTCACTCAGAATATACTTTTTACATAAAACATCTGAGTGTGTCCACGCTTTAGTTATCAAGAATCGTTCATTAGGCGGAGTTTCATCTGACATAACAGAAACATTCTTATTAATGATCTTTTGCAGACTCAACGTAGTGAGATAGAAGAACATCTTCTGCTGTCATCTCTTAAAGTGGACTCAAGAAAACTTTGCAGCTTTCTCAACCGGCGCTAAGGCAACATTTGAACGATTATGTGCAATCGATGTTGTTGTAGTACTTACTGTTGCAGCACTTACCTAACTTGAATTAGTCATTTTTTTGTCACAAATGACAGATAATTTAATTATTTGAAATACTAACAATAAAGAACAAATCTTTATACAGATTGTTTAAGATTTAGCGATAAAGTTTTTATGTTCTTTTAATCGTTAATCGAATAAATTTTAAAAATTCAAGCAGAGTAAAAAGCCATAAAGGTTTTAATCTCCAGAAACCTCAAATACAGAAAGTTATTAAAATCTCTTAAGATTGTTATTCAACCTGTATTATAAGCTTAGCCTAAAACGACAGAAACAAAATAAGAGGAAATAGAAAGTAAATAGAATACAAGAAAAAATCCGAGTCCACAGAAACTACTGTGTGTCCTTAAGAAATTTAATCCTCTCACTGTACCCGAGGTTATGGATTAATTTCTCCCAAGATAAAACAGATTAATCTTGTTAAAGAAATAGCGGTACCTCAAATTTATTTAACTTCAGCGAACTTCACAAGAGGAACAAGTCAAACAGACTCAGTCGATCGACACTTTGATTTGTTTGAGATAAAAAATTAATGCAGAGTAAGAAAAAATTTAGTGTTTGAAAAAATGAAAATTGACTTCCTTTTATAGCCATTTTTAGCAAGAAACGTGTCTGTTCGGAGAAAACTGTTTAGACCCATTTTATCCAGAAAGTTGTATCTTTTGGAAAAAATAACAACTTTTCAGAAAAATGTGTCTGTTAGGAAAATAATGGCTTTTCGGAAAGAGTAACAACTTTTCAGAATGGTACCGTTACCCGCAAATTTATAAGAGATAATATTAAAAGGATTTATTTGATTTAACAAAAACTGATTAAATAAATTTTGTCCAAAAAATTTATCAATCAATAACATCATTTGCCAAATCCAAATACAAAGCCGAGCGAGCGACGACGACGACGGCGCGAGGGGGCATCTTCTTCTTATCTCTTTAAGAATTAATGGAAGTGTTGCCTTATATAATGACAACAATTTCCCTTAATTTTGCCGATATGAGAGAAATGAATTTTCATTTGCACTTTGCAAATGAATTTTCATTTTCCCTCCAAAATAGTTCCCTCACTTTTCATATTCTCTCTTTTCTTTTCCCATTCACACTTGCTAAACACAACAAAATATCTGTCCATTTTGGGGACAATGATGGACCGTCGGATTCCTTTGGTGTAATATGCATCTGGAATGAAAATCTGTCGCACCTCATCCACTAGCCCTGCATGCAACCCAAATTTAAACAAGAGTTTTATTTAGTAGAACATATATTTGAAAACCAAAAATATTATTAAGAAAATTATATAAGAAAAGATTTTAGCTAGCCGCATGATAGTATATCTTGATAGATACACAAAATAATTACAAAAGATACCTGCTTTGACCATTTGATCAACCCTCATGTCAACTCTACGATTGAAGACTAATTGCTCAACATCAATCCAAATAAAGCAACTATCATACTTATATTTGAACATGAACACAGGATCTTCCACAAGTTTTTATATATTCGAATTTGACCCTTCAACAATAATTGGAACACGTTGAGTCTTCAATATTTTTTCTATATAGATGAAAGATTGCAAACAAATATCTTCAGCTGTGAAGTCTGAATCTGGTTCAATTTCACGTAAGAAAATTTGATCAAGTATACTTTCTCAGAATTGAAAGAAATAATTTTTTAATAGTAAAGTATATTTTTCACTAGAATCTATAGTTACTACTATAAAGTTATCTAGTTAGTCATTTGATATAAGTAATCTTGAGAATAAATATGTATACCTAAGAAATAGTGTCGTACACCTTTTTTTCTTTGTGTGTGATCTTGTTTTTAACAATTTCAAGTCCCTTGTAAACTTGCATTTTATCCGAGTTGATTATTTTTCCTCGAAAATGGGTGGCAAGGTCAACAGAGAAACAGGATTTTCCCGTTCCTACGGCCCCGATTATGAAGATCACTTCCTTCTTGAACTCTTCATTGTTGATGAAAGTATTCATTTTATCTACACAAAAAAATTTAATTATTATAGTGAATTCATAAAGTCATACATTAAAAAATATTGTAAATATAAACCTAGTAAGTAGAAACCTTGCTTGACTTGGAATATAGTAAGTAAAATTATAAAATTTTCTTGATGGTGGATGTGAAAAAAAAATTACATTAAGCTTTTATAGTAAAATCTTTTTGTGGAGTTATTAATTGACATACCAATTTCATAATTACTGATATATTTTAGGATAAGAATGAGTTTTAAAAGCTTATAGATATGTCAACTTGAATTTTGGTAATTATTATTAAATATATTTTAGGATAAAGTTATTAGTGTACGTTGCTAGGAGACCACATAGAGCTGGGCTTTTATAGTAAAAGTTTGATTTTTATAGACTTATTAATTAGTAAACCAAATTAAATATATATAAATTCATATCTTTTAGAATAAGAATAGCTCATTAAAATTTTTTGAGATGTGTCACCTTAAATTTTTGCGATTAAGCTTAAATTATTTTAGGATGACGTGTCTAGATGTATATTATTATGAGATCACAAGCAGTTACATAAGGTTTGTACAATAAACTCAATAATATTATTAACGGAATATATTCAAGTGATAATGCATCAAATCTTACACTATTCAACAACGCACTTATAAGTATTAAGTCTAATTCCATAAGAGGGAAATTAACAATTATCGATAACTATTTCAATTACGAGTATTTATATTAACTTGTGCACCATATAATAATAGATAAGGACTTTATTGAATCAAGCTTCAATAACCGTGATAGAATTAGGTAGAATATATTCATTACGGATATATTACAAATTTACTATTTTATCTTCTTTGTCTATGTAACATTTTTAAGTATTCAGTTAAGAATTCTATTCTTCGAAATCCTTTTAGGGTGGAATCTTCCCGAACATTTATGGCGATTAATTATTTTATCACTCTATTAGCTTGGCATTATGAGTGATCTCATGAAATTGTGTACGTATGCATTTGTATTAATATATATTAAATATAGAAGACTTGGACTTGGACTTTGGACTTGGTCTTGAGCTTGGGCTTGGATCGAAACTTAAAATAAATTTTTCATCTAAAGATAAGAATTTTTTTTTATAGACAAGAGTAACATATATAGAAATAAGGGGCATATATAACATATATATATATTTGTAATGCGATACAAACTTTACAAAATAGGTAAAAAATAAAGAGACCAAAACAGAAGAAGGAGATAATGACAGTTTATGTACACTCAATAATAATATTGTGATGATTGGTTTTGGGAAATCTCTTCAAAATATCTAGGCATGGTTGCAAAACTGTATTCGTCCATGCTTCGTCAAGATATTCTTTGAAAACGGCCGTAGCAATAATATGATACACCGACCACGTTTTCTCGCTTATTAATCGTTGAATCTTGTCAAGTTGGTTACAAATTAACATACGAGTATTACGCTTGATACTTGAAATTGAAGCTTGAAGAATCATCTGCTTTGATTCATAATCTCTGTCTATATTTGTTTCTTCCCTTAAATATCTGTCCATTTCAGGGACACCAATGAACCGTCGGATTCCTTTGGTGTAATCTGCATCTGGAATGAAAATTTTTCGCACTTCATCCACTAGCCCTTCATGCAACACAAATTTTAAGAAGAGTTTTATTTAGTAGAACATATATTTGATAACCAAAAGTATTATTAAGAAAATTATATAAGAAAAGTTTTTAGCTAGTTGCATGATAGTATATCTTGATTGATACACAAAATAATTACAAAAATTACCTACTTTGACCATTTGATCAACCCTCATGTCAATTCTACGGTTCAAGACTGATTGCTCAACATCAATCCAAATAAAGCAACTATTATACTTATATTTGAACATGAACACAGGATCTTCCACAAGTTTTTCAAGATACGAATTTGTCCCTCCAACAATAATTGGAACACGTTGAGTCTTAAATATTTTTTCTATATAGATTCCAGCTTGCAAACAAAAATCTTCAGTTGTGAAGTCTGAATATGGTTCAATTTCACCTAAGAAAATGTGACCAAATTAACTTTATCAGAATTGAAAGAAATAATTTTTTAATAGTAAAATATATTTTTCACTAGAATCTATAATTACTGCTATAAAATTATCTAGGTACTCATTTGATATATGTATTCTTGAGAATAAACATATATACCTAACAAATAGTATCGTACACCTTGTTTTCAGTGTGAGTGATCTTGTTTGTAACAATTTCAAGTCCCTTGTAAACTTTCATTTTATCCGAGTTGATTATTTCTCCTCGAAAATGGGTGGCAAGGTTGACACAGAGATGAGATTTTCCTGTTCCTGTGGCCCCCATTAGGAAGATCACTTTCTTCTTGAACTATTCATTGTTGATGAAAGTATTCATTTTATCTCCAAAAAAAATTAGTTTATAATAGTGAATTCATAAAGTCAGACATTAAAAAATCTTGTAAAATATAATGCTAGTAAGTAGAAACCTTGCTTGACTTGAGATATACTATCTAAAAATATAAAATTTTCTTTATGGTGGATGTGATTTTTTTTTTTTTACAATTCAGCTTTTATAGTAAAATCATTTTGTGGAGTTATTAATTGACATATCAATTTTATAATTACTGATATATTTTAGGATAAGAATGACTTTTAAAAGTTTATAGATATGTTAACTTGAATTTTGGTAAGTATTATTAAATATATTTTAGGATAAAGTTAGTAGTGTACGTTGATAGGAGACCACATAGAGCTGGGCTTTTATATTAAAAATGTGATTTTTATAGACTTATTAATTAGTAAAAAAAATTAAATATATATAAATTAATATATTTTTGAAGAAGAATAGTTCATTAAAATTTTTAGAGATATGTCACCTAAAATTTTGGCGATTAAGCTTAAATTAATTTAGGATGACGTTTCTAGATGTATATAGTTATGAGATCACAAGTAGTTACATAAGGCTTGTACAAAGAACTCAATAATATTTCTAACGGAATATATTCAAGTGATAATGCGTCAAATTTTACACTATTCAACAACGCATTAAAAAGTGTTATGTCTAATTCCATAAGAGGGAAGTTAACAATTATCGATAACTATTTCAATTACGAGTATTTATATTAGCTTGTGCATCATATAATAATAGATAAAGATTTTATTGAATCAAGCTTCAATCACCGTGATCGAATTAGCTAGAATATATTCATTACCTATAGATTACAAATTTACTATTTTATCTTCGTTGTCTATATATCATTTTTAAGTATTGAGCTAAGAATTCTATTCTTCAAAATCCTTTTCAGGGTGGAATCTTCCCGAACATTTATGGCGATTTATTATTTTATCACTCTATTAGCTTGACATTATGAGTGATATCATGTAATTGTGTACGTATGTATTTGTATTAATATATATTAAATATAGAAGACTTGGACTTTAATTTGGGGCTTGGGCTTGGATCGAAACTTAAAATAAATATTTCATCTATCGATAAGAATTATTTTACAGACAAGAGTAACATATATAGAAATAAGGGTCATATCATACATATATATTTGTAATGCGATACAAATTGTACAAAATAGGTAAAAAATAAAGAGACCAAAATAGAAGAAGGCGATAATGACAGTTTATGTACACTCAATAATAATTTTTTGATGATCGTTTTTGAGAAATCTCTTCACAATATCTAGGCATAGTTGTAAAACAGTATTCGTCCATGCTTAGTCAAGATCTTCTTTGAAAACGTCCGTAGTAATAATATGATGCACTGACCACATTTTCTCACTTATTAATCATTGAATCTTGTCAAGTTGGTTACAAATTAACATAGAGTATTACGCTTGATACTTGAAATTGAAGCTTGAAGAATCATTTGCTTTGATTCATCAACTCCATATATATTTGTTTCTTCCCTTAAATATCTTTCAATTCCAGGGATACCGATGCACCGTCGGATTCCTTTGGTGTAATCTGCATCTGGAATGAAAATCTATCGCACCTCATCCACTAGCCTTGCATGCAACACAAATTCAAAGAAGAGTTTTATTTAGTAGAACATATCTTTGATAACCAAAAGTATTATTAAGAAAATTATATAATAAAAGTTTTTAGCTAGCTGCATGATAGTATATCTTGATTGATACACAAAATAATTAAAAAAATTACCTGCTTTGACAATTTGATCAACCCTCATGTCAACTCTACGGTTCAAGACTGATTGCTCAACATAAATCCAAATAAAGAAACTATCATACTTATATTTGAACATGAACATAGGATCTTCCACAAGTTTTTCGATATACGAATTTGACCCTCCAACAATAACTAGAACACGTTGAGTCTTCAATATTTTTTCTTTGAATATTAAATATACTGATAAATTGTCAATGCAATAGATTTTAACTAAATTGTGGGAGCTACTAATAACCAATAACCAAACCATATAAGCTAAATGTTATGTGATCTATTGCGATGCATCCAGAGTTGTCCTTGGTTGTGTGTTGATGCAATGAGATAAGGTTATAGGTTATGCTTCTAGACAACATAAGTTTCATGAGAAAAACTATCCAACTCTTGACCTCGATCTTGCAGCAGTGGTGTTTGCACTTAAGATCTAGAGACACTACTTGTTTGGTGTTCATATAGATGTATTCATTGACCATAAGAGTCTTCAGTATGTGTTCACCCAGAAGGAGTTGAATCTTCTCCAGATAAGATGGCTTGAGTTCCTTAAGGATTATGATATGAGTGTGCATGACCATTTTGGTAAGGTGAATGTATTAGCAAATGCTCTTAGTAGATTATCTATGGGTAGTGTAGCCCGTGTTGAGGAAGAAAGGAAGGAGCTAGTGAAGGATGCTCATAGTATTGCTCGCTTGGAAGTTCTCCTTATGAGCATATCAGACAGTGGCGTACAAGTTCAGAATGGGGAAAAATCTTCTTTGCTAGTGGAGATTAAAGAAAATAAAGACAGTGATCCAATCTTGCTTGAAATTAAGGGTGAAATCCATAATCAAAAAGAGGAGGTTTTCTCCCAAGGGGTAAATGGTGTACTTCTCTACTACACATAGATTGTGTTTTCGTAATGTGGGCAAGTTGAGACATCATATTATTGCTGAATTCCATAACTCTAGATATTCTATTCATCCATGTACCACGATCTGTTGAAAGTCTATTGGTGGAATGACATTAAGAGAGATATTGCAGATTTTGTGAGTAAGTGCTCCAATTGACAACAGGGTTAGCTTGGAATAACTTGTGGTCGATGTATATCGGGGCATGAAACAAAGCACATGTAATCTTTTAAATTTCAAGAAAAAGAACAGTAGAAGATTAAAAAAAATTGTGGTTAAAAGAAATGAGAGAAAGTATTTTTAATGTGTTATAGAAATGGTCATAACCTTTAAGAAGTCAAAACCTTTTGAAAAAGTCACAACTTATTTAAAAATGAAAACTCACAACTTATTAAATAAGTTACAACTCCTTGGATAGGCACAACTCTTTGGAAAAGTCACAACTTAGTGAAATTATATTTTTTGTATCTTATCGGATTAATCTTGACCTTTTGAGAATTCCTAACATTTTGAGAAGTCATAGCCTTTTATAAAAGTCACAACTTATTGAAAAATGACATTTCCTAGAAGTCACAACTCTTTCAAAAGTCGCTAGTCCTTGAAAAAATCACAACTCTTTGGAAATGCACAACTCTTTGGAAAAGTCACAACTCAGTGAAAATCACAAATCTTTGAAAAAAGTCACAACTCACTGAAAAAGTCATAAGTTTAGGTAGAAAGAACAGCCAGTGTCAGAGAGATGACTTCTGTTGAACTCTTTCTTTACATGAACGGAATGAATGCCTTAATGGAATGGAATCCGGGATCCAAGTAGATTAGGTTAAGGCAAGTATGCGTTCAACCCCTTTCTCATCGGGCCAGGATCGATAGTCGTTCGACCTCAGGAAAGTGCGGTCAGATTCAGAATCTCCAATGTCTTGGTCTTTACCTTCGCTTCGAGAGACAAGCACCGCATCTAGGTAAGCGGCATCTAATTGAATTGATTCACCGGATGTTCCATCTATGAAAATGGAAGAGATGTCTGTTAAGGTCGGCTTCATGAAAGCAAGAAATGAAGCAAGTTTAACGAACATAGAGATGGAAAGAGATGGATTTTGCCCAGCTGTTGTCAGATCAATTCCCATTCATTCTTTAATGGAATAGGGAACGGGCAGAGCTGCGGCTATCAGGAATGGGCGATAGCCTATGACTAAAAGCGCCGACTATCTATGAATGACCAGGATCGGAATGCCAATCGACGAGATGAGCCTACGAAAGATTTCAAGTTCAGACTATGATGACTGACATCCTCACTTACGCAACGAAATGGAGTTGATGGAGTAGCCAGTGCCCTTGAGTTATTTTCTTCAGTATCGCCTTCTCTCATCGTTAAAGGCGCCGCAAGGCACTCGAGTAGAAGGAGTGGATGTTAGGCACGCAGGGAAGACTCTGACTATGCGTTGGCACTAGCCCTGGGCATGGATTCTCCTTTGATTGAAGGAACGAGACAGAAGAGAACCAGAACCATATCCTTCACACATTCAGTCTGATCTTATCTGCGCTATTGCCCGATCATAGCTGTACTGTATTACATTAGTTATCCGTCTCCCCTGCCCTGTTAGAACAGTCTGGTCTGTAACAACACAACCTGAAAGGAAGCCATTCCTAATAGGAAGTTTCCCTGGCTTGAAATTCACTCGCTTATCCGGAATGAGCTACTGAGTTGGAGTACAGGAAAGAAGCACCACTTCTTTATTGTCTTGAAACTCCGCTCTGAACCCGAATCGTAGAACTCAGACATGATAGATTTCTCATCTCAGGTTAATCAATTCAATGATCGACTTCTTTCTTTTTCTCAATATGATTCTTCAAAGATGCTAAAATTGACTATCTCATGGAAGGGAGTGGGATGTGAGAGAAAGTCTTACGATCCAACTATCTCTTGTACCCCCTAATTGGCGCTGAGGAGTCTTCATCTTGGAATCCATCGCCACTCCCCATGCTGGTAAGAAAGGGGTCAACCCGGTGGCGCATCAACGTCTTGAGCGAGTGAGAGCCTTGATCCAAGGCCGGGTGCTGTCGCAATCCGCAGAAGTAGCTTCAATCAAAGGTTGCGCAACTGCCAATAAAGACATTGCTCTACGACTCCTTAGAGGTTGGGGAGTGGAAGAAGATTCATCACTGGGCTGGACTTTAAGACCTTAGTTGAAAATACCTTTCCTCATTCATGGGTATCTAATACATCATGGTCTAGGGGCCTAAGAGAAGGAAGATAGATCACCAAGGC